GAACCTGCTGCATATTTAAAGATGTCAACCGCTTCGTACGCGCCGCAGCAGTCAACACAAAAGGTGGCAGTCCAATGACGACAGCAGCAGGCCATTAGCAAGCAACAACATCTTTGCGTTGCCTCCTCCGACGCACGTGTGTTTATTACCAGGTGGAATGGGGCAGATCCACTCCCTCCCTGCCTCCAGAGCTTGGAGCGGAAGGTTTGGAGGGCTCTAGCAGACGCTATTAATTGTTTCTTGTGGCAGAAAAACACACAGAAGCAGCAGCAGAACAGCAGAGATGCAGAGATGCTGCAGCTGCAGCTGCAACTCCAACTGAAAGCTGAGAAAATGCGTCTGTCGCTTCATAGAACTTTTCGCTTCGTCTAATAACTGAAAATCGTGACTTTATGTCTGCACTTGAAAATGAAGACAATAAAAACACAATACCCTAGCCATGGATATGGCTAACCATAGTGCTGGTAAAGCAACTCCCCGATGAGAGCAGAGGTTTCATTCCACTGAGGGGGTGGGGGGGTGCTACACGACTCCTAAGAATGAACACGTTCACATTCCCCACGTTGCTGCATATCGCATTACACACACACACATTTCTAATGTCAAAAGACATTCTGACATGGCTTTTCGTAATAAACAAAGCTCTGGTGTTTACGATGATGTCTAAGACCAACTCCAACTCCCCAGAGATACTTTCCCCATGGCTCTAGATATTTCTTCAAGCGGGCAACTAATCGTAGAGCAGAGCGCAGGTTTATGTTTAATTTGAATTTAAAGTTCAACATGGAAAGGCTTTTAGGAGGCTTTTAGATGGGAAGAAAAAAGTGCAGAAAAAAGTGCAGAAAACCAAAGGGAACTGCCTCAAGTTTCTACACTTTTCTCTCTGCTAAATATAGACAGATTCTCCATAAGAAATTGCATCGTTTTATAGCTGATTTCATTAGAAGTTGATTCAAATAAAAAAGCAAATTTGTATACGTGCAGCAGTGCCACTCGGTCGTGACAGCGCTTAACAAGCTTCAGCTTGATGTCGCTTCTGCTGCTAATATCTAATGGATTTGCCATTTAGTCATGGACATCAAATACAAAACATGGACTCTGCCTTAGCCGTGGTACGGCGGCGGTCTCTTGAATAGCTCTTTAATTCGATGCTCCACTCCACTCCTTTGGGCCATCCCATATCAATGGCATATAATTATGCTTATTACCAGGCAACCAACCATTCAACACCTACACACAAAAAGCGCTCAAAGGAACCACAACTTCATATATAAAACACTCCCATAAGATGTGGCAGCGAGTGGCAGCTCGAGTGGTGCCTCTTGGACACAAAACTTCCATAAATTCTCAACAGCAGACCCCAAGACAGCGAATTGTAGTTTCTCTCTGCTGTTGTTGATTTAACGTGACAGACGGCCAGCGGGGGCAAAGCTGCATGTAGCTGGCTAGATGCGGTTAGCGGTACTGCGGTAGCCAACCACCAAATTGCTGTGGAAAATTTATGAAAATTTTGCTGCCAGCCAAATGACTTCTGGGTTAAGATGCAAGTGAAAATGATTGTTTAATGGGCATTCAAAGTGCAGATATCTATGGATTGTAGGGAATGAGATATGTCTTTAGATAACTGGGGGAAAGTTTCTCCCTCGCTCAGACATAAATGTGCAACTCTGTGGCCGAAGGGCCTGTCGGAAGATTGCAAACTTCTAACCATAAAAGGTGTGCAGAGTGCAGACCTCGTAATAAAAGCGAAAGATGCCGCTACATAAAAGGCAGCAACCTCTGGCAAATGACCAAAAATGGTCAGAGACTCGTCGAATGAAGGGGAGCCATAGCCAGTTCCAGGTCCAGGCTGCCCCCCTTGGAATGCTTTGACTCTGAAGAGGAGCAGGGAAGTCTCGCGCTCTCTCTCTCTGTGGGCTTTTAGACGCTGTTGCCATGACAAATGCAACTCAAGTGACACATTGTATGGCTCGTAAATGCACTGAGCGAAAAGGCCATCAAGTAGATCCTTTTGACTTGCTTCCAGTTGTTTGCTTCCTTTGCCCCTCAGTGCAGTGCATAACTAATGGGCAGTCGCCCAACAGGCAAGAGGGAAGGTAAAGAGGTAGAATAGGACTTTTTTGTTGCCCACTGTTTTTTCATATATTTATACAAATGCCATCATTGCCACACACTGTTGCCCCTGCCCTGGAAGAGCCCCTCGAACGTCACACGGAAATGTTTAGCGACAAAACTGCGTGGGCCGTGGGGCAAGACCAGGCACAGGGACCAGGGACCAGAGACCCAGACCCAGACCCCAACACACAGGTGAATGCCATCAAGAGGCAATGGCAGAGAATCCACAAATGCAGCAGCAGCTACACCGAGTACGACTGCGAGTGCGACTGCGAGTATTATGAGCCCCCATACACGCGTACGAGTATGTCCCTCTCTGAATGGAGGAGTCGTCGTCGTCGTCGTCGTCGTCTGCAGCCAGCAAAAAGGTCAAAGACATTTGGCAGCTGTTGCGGCTGCTGATGCTGCGTGCCTCTTCTGCTTCTGCTTCTGCTTCTAGTTTTGGTTTTCTGTGCAACATCTGATTCTGTGATTCTGTGAATCTGTGCGGTGTGCGGTGTGTGCTGTGTGGAGCTGCTCTTCTACAGAGCTACACAAATCAAAAATGCGTACTAAAGACGTAAATTCAATTTGCGTGGAAACTAAATAAAGAGATTGTGGAGGCGCCCCGGCGCACATCTCTTTTGACATGTGACACCTGAAAGATGCAAAAAGGGAGATAGACACAACAACAGGAGATGCATAAAAGAGGAGTGATGCAAGGGGAACAGATGCAAGGGGGGAGATACACAATATAATGATACAAAATGCATTTCTGAACAGTAGTTGCCAAGAGGATGCCCTGCCAAATAGCGTGGGTGGCCACAGAAGTAGGGAATAAAAGGGAATGAAGTGCTAGCAAAAGATACAAACAAAGGCCTACTGATGATCTGTGGCCAGAAAAAGGTTCAAGGTCTTTGATAAAGTAAAAGATACAACTCGTAACGGAATTTTATGTATTTTTGGACAATTAGAAGTTAAAGTTAAATTATCTGTTTTGGTCAGATTTCTGCGGGCTACTTTATTTATTTTTTCTGATTCATGTTTTTTTTTTAACTCATCTTTATTTTTAATGGCATTAATATATTTATTTTCTGATATGCTTTGTTATTAATTTTAATATTTTTAAGAATCTATTTTTGTTTATTTTAAATAACTTTTCAGTCCTTTGTCTGGTATTTTTCTATTATTTAGCTGATATATTTTAAGTATTTTTTGTTATTATTTATGCTACTTTTTCTAGTTTTCAAAATTTCTTAAAAAACATTCCTTAGATCATTAAAAAATCTCTTAGGAAATATTAAGCTATTTAAAAGAGACTTGTAATCATCTCAAGTTACAAACATATCTCGTATCTCCTATATGTTGCTTGTAAATCCTCAATCTATACTCTTCACATGCCCCTCGCTCACATGTGGCACTGGCAGGCACCTCTTCAAATCACAGATACACGTCTGAGCTACCTCTCAATATCTGTGTATCTTTTGACTTTTGCAGACAGACATCCTTTCATGTTTCCTTCCATTTACTACCAAGGAAATAAACTCGGCAGACGTCTTGGGCGCGGAACAATAAAATGCAAATAAAATAATATGAAAGTAATTTTGAAATTTTTACCAAGTTTCGTGATGCTGTTTGTCTGTGCAGTGGGAAAAGTCTACCAAAAGGAATGTGGGGGGAAAAAGTCTTCCAAAAGGTAAAGGATGGGCCATCCTCTGGCAGGAGTCTGGCATGCGTATTTAATTTCCAGCAAGCAGCAAAGGAGTACACAGGACGCGTCTTTGCAACTTTATTTTGTCTGTCAGCTTTGTTTCCTTTTTTTTCTCTCTCTCTCTGTTTTTTATTCATTTAATACAATTGTTACCCGTTCTACAGCCTCTGCTGCTCTTGACGGACTTATTAATGGCCAACAGCAGTGGAAGTGGCAGTGGCAGTGTCGGCGGCAACCCATAAGATACATTTGTATCTCAGGGCTTTGTCTGGCATTTGGCCCGGCTCCCCCGTCTAGAAGTTTATGTGCGACTTATTAAAAGTTATTTCTCTTTTTTATTTCGCTCTTAATTTGCCTTTTTAATCAGCCTTATGACTAATTGCGCGAGACAACTGAAAAGGAAAAGCTAAAGAAAATTATTTAGTTAAAGGAAAAACGAATGAGAAACAAGTCCTTGAGATAATTATAATTATCCGTGGAATAAGTGAGAAATTTAGTAATCTAAAAAGAAAATTGCAGAAAGTTTTGCCAGTTTTCCATTTGGTAATTGTTTAATGAGTTTTGTTTTTATTTTCTTCAGGCTGTAAATAAAAAGTCGCGTATAATTTCCATTTAAATCCGCACTTAAAGCCCAATCCACAGTCAGGTTGGAATTACCATTTGATTGTGGGACAATTACGAGCATTGAGCCGCAGCCAATCAACGAATCAACAATTGTTCCATGGAACCAACTACCGCGACTATGCGGCTTATGGCAGACAGACAAAAGTATCTTTATCTTGATATGCAAATTTATGGGGGGCGCACACACGCACACACTTCACGACATTCGCATCATAAAAATATTTATTGCAGTTAAGTTTTTTTTTTATGGCTCTCACAAAGGGGCTTGCCGGCCGCCGCTTGCTTCATTAATTTATAAGCGTAAAATTATTGTAAAAAAAAAAAAGTATCTTGCAGATACTTGTACGTTTACGGGCCATGCAAATGAGGCCCTCAGACAAGCTGTTAATGTTGACAGGACACAGCCCACAGCCCACACGCCCTCCGCTCTGTCATAAAAACTCATAAAGAAATATATTTATAAAATCTGTAAAAATCTGTAAAATCTGTAAAATTAAATGCTACATTGGTGTTTGTTGTTGTTCGTTGTGCAGTTTGCTAATAATATATTGTATCTTTCTTCTTTTTGCAGACAAATAGCACCCGCCTATAAAGTCAATGGCGGTACTGCCATACCACTGCCGGCCACCGTTATGGTGCAGCGTCGCTGTCCACCGGATAAAGTGCGTCCACTGCCACCGACACCAAATCATACGCCATGTAAGTATCATCCATACCACCCAGCCCCCCCTCTCAGAGGGATTCCTGGCTGTATGGGAGTTTGGGAAATTTATTAAAAAATCTTTTAAACCCTTAACCAACCCTTCCAAGCAGGGGAGTCCTGTTCTGCAGGGGAGTCTGCTCATTGTTTACTGGGAATAAACAAATTTCAGGTCCGCAGAGTCAGAGCAAACAACCCCCAGGACGTGGAACTGCACTTAGCTCTCTGTCTCTCTCTCTCCACTCCTCCCTCAGCTCTCTAATTTTTGGCTTAGCCCTTTCCATGTGGAGTTCTGACCGAGATTTGTTGTGTCATTTGGGGGGCGTTTTTCTCTCTTGCTCCCCCTGTAATCAAAGCTCTCTGGGGGATACTTTTGGGTTTGGAATTCTGTATAGAAAGTCTCCTGTGATTTGTGGTTAAGGTAACTGCATTTTCCAATTAATTATGTAGATTGGGAGAGAGAAAACGAGAGAGAGCGAGATGCCATGAAAATTATTCAACTTGATGACAATTGTTGTTTAATTCCACTTCATATATTTCCCACATTCTTGGTGATTTTCTTATTTCCATAATTATTCATTGAATTCTTTGGTTAATGCTTCAAAAATTGATTCCAGAGAAGCGCAGCTAAAACTCAAACCCTAAACCAGTTTCCAGCTTAAGATACTTTACCTTTTGCTGACCCATTTCTCAAGGGGAGTTTCTTCTGTCATTGTTAGTCATATTTTTAGAGCATTTCGAATGATTTATATACCGATATTTGGCTGCTTCTTGGCGCAGATATAAATCACGGGGGCGCAAAGAGAGAGTGAGTGAGGGAGTCGCCTCCCAATCTGTTATCAGCCTCACGCACGGCAATTAATTAAGTTTAATGTCCGCATTGGCCTTTAGCATTGATTTATATGGTTGACTTTCAAGAGGAGTCGTCGCCTCCATCTCTACATTTCCCCCCCACTCAATGGGGTCTCCGTCTCCCTCTCCATCTCTCGCTCTCTGCCTGTCCCTGACATTGACTATAAGTGGGCGCCATCCATCGTGTGGGTTATGGTGAGGTGTGTGAGCGTGTGGGTTAACAGTTCTTTAAAACATGTTTCTGTATCCTACTTTTGTTGTCCTTCTTTTCAGCCATACCGGGACTGGGCAAGAGCGGAAGTGATTTCAATACGAGCCGTCCAAATAGTCCGCCCACCAGCAATCATACAATCCAAAGCCTCAAGAGTGGCAATAACAACAGGTAAGGCAGCGAGTCATGAATGGGAGAAACAGAAGTTCCTCTTTTTGGGAATATATGTACATATATCTACGGAGATGGCAAAATGTGAACAATCGGTGGATAAAGTGAAGATTTTATCGAGATTTAATGTTTCGTATGGAATAGCTGCTACGATTTACATTTTCATTGCATTTTTCTGATTCAATTATTTGGTATTGTCCGATTAATTCGATTTTTACCAGATTTCGATTATATTTCGATTACATTTCGATTACATTTTAAATTATATTTTTAACCATGTTTAGCCCACTTCCTATGATATTTTCCATCATAAATGATCAATGATCAATGCTTATCGATAACTTTCGATAACAAATCGAGTTATCGATAATTTTCGATAACAAATCGATTTATTCCGTCAGATTTGTATCTCTAAAACGCCTCTAATTAATCGTAATTCTTCCCTTTTTTCACAGCCTACGTCCACCGAGTGTCAAGAGCAATCACCAAAGCGGAATACCCTCACCAAGCACCCCCCAGACGACGAGCAACACAACGACGACGCAGCCAGCAGCTGCTCCTCCGCAGAAGCACTCGATGCTGGACAAGCTGAAGCTCTTCAACAAGGAGAAGCAACAGAATGCAGTGAATGCGGCCAGTGTGGCGGCGGCCAACAAATCGCAGATCCAACAGCAACAATCGAAGCGCACCTCCTCCTCGTCGGGGTTTAGTTCGGCGCGTTCCGAGCGCTCCGACTCCAGCTTGAGCCTCAACGATGGCCACAACTCGTCGCAGCTGAAGCCGCCGAGCATCAGTGTGTCGTCCCAGAAGCCCCAGCAGAAGCACAACACAAAGCAATCGAAGCTGCTGGCGGCCCAGCAGAAGAAGGAGCAAGCCAAGTCGAAGCTGGACAAAAAGGAGAAGAGTCCGGCCCGTTCGCTGCACAAGGAAGAGTCCGGGAATGAGTCGCGCAGCTCCACGATGGGCAGAGCGGGCAAAAGTTCACTGGCCAGAGGAGGCCTCGGTCTGGGACTCACCGGGGATAAGAATACACTGAAGACATCGTCCAAGTCCTCGCTGCACTCCAAATCGGAGTCGAAGAGCTCGTTGAAGGGTGCCGGGGCACAGCAGCAGATGCTGCACAGTCCGAGTGGCACGGGTCTGCCCAAACCCATTGCGGCGATCAAGGGCACCAGCAAGCTGCCAGCACTATTGGGCGGGGAGCTCCTCAAGCGGGAAACCAGCGACATATCAGCCGCCAATCAGGCAACACAGACAACACAGCAGAACATATCCATAGCCGTGGGGCAGGAAGCCACACAGCCGGCACAGAGCAGCACGGCTACGCCACATATCCTTAAGGGTGCTGCACCGCCGCCGTACTATGCGAACAGCAGTCCACCCACACACATATCACAGGGACATCCCGGCATGGGGGGATACCTCAGTGAGCCCAGCACACCACAGCAGCAACAGCAGCAACAGCAGCAGCATCAGCAGGGGATCTACGGCAGCAGCAGTGGCAGTGGAAGTCGCCTGCTGCAGCCCAAGACAGCGCTGAGTGCCCCACGCAAATTGGAGTACAATGCTGGACCCCATATCCTCTCATCGCCACCCCATCGAGGGGCAGGTCTGCAGCGGCCAATGCCCAACTCGGCACCGAATACGCCCACGGCATCGCCGAATAAATTCCACACGATACCCTCGAAGATTGTGGGCACCATTTACGAGTCGAAGGAGGAGCAACTGCAGCAACAGCAGCAGCCCCAACAGACAGGCGGCTGTTCCGCAGGCGCCTCAGTGCTGCCCATGAGACCCCTGCTGCGCGGCTACAACTCGCATGTGACGCTGCCGACGCGCGGAGCACGCGGTGGCCACCACCATCCGCATCAATCGTATCTGGATTTCTGTGAATCGGATCTGGGGCAGGGCTACTGCAGCGACGGGGATGCGCTGAGAATTGGCAGCTCACCGGCCACCAGTCGCTATCATGACATCGACAATGGCTATCTGTCGGAGGGAAGCAGTGGCCTGAACGGATCATCGCTGGGCGGCTCCACTGGCGGTGCCGTGTCACATGGCAAGCACTTTCTCAGCATGATGAGAGCCCGGACGCAGCTGCCAACGACCATTGAGGAAAGGTGAGTGCTAGATTAAAGGTCTGAGGGATCAGCAGAGACTTTGGTTGTACATTTGGATAGTTTTTTGGTTGCATTAGGGAGAGGTTTAGCCAAAGAGTACAGCTAAGAGCTGTCTGAATGATGTCTTAAGTGATGGTTCTTTACTTTTCAATGAGTTACGACTGATTCCAGAGGTTACCTCCATCCAAACACTGCGCCATGTGACTCATCTGAGAGCCATTTCTTTTGCCTCTGCCCGCAGTGGTAAGTGGAGAGCGAAAGAGCAGCAGAGTCGCGACACCAATGAGTAATCGCAAGGCAGTAATTGCCGTTGTATCGCTTCGCATTGCTTCCAAGAAGCACCAACAGAGAAGCGCCTCCATGTGGCGCATTCTCTTGCGGCGGGCCATAAAAACTCTCGCATTGCGGTGCCGGCTTTTGGCTTTGACTTTAGGCCTCAGTGCATTTTGGAATGGTTTTTTGTGTCATTTGTTTTAACATTTTGTTGTTGCTGCTTTCTCTTGTGGTTCGAGTGGTTGGTTGGTTGAGTGTGTGGCACGCACCATTTAGGCACACTTTTGGTGTCAGGGGCAGGGGCAGGGGCACATCTGTCTGTCAGAGAGAGAGAGAGAGGCCTGGCCCCTAGCCTCCTATCATCAAGTGATTGTGAAGCAGAGTTAATTGCAGGCTGCCACTTGTGGCACCATAACAACTTCCTGCGGCATGCAGGACTCTCTCTCTCTCTCCCTCTTGGCGGTGTGAAGTGTGTGTGGAAGTATCTTCTAGTATCCTCCACTTGAGGGGATAACAAAACTCAAATCCAGCGATCAAATTGCCAATTTGCATAAAGTCCACTCGATGTTCGACTGTCATGTTTCCCGGTTACCGGGATTTCGTATCCCGTGTCCCCCACTTGCCCCTTCCCACCTGCCTCTTACTGTGTGTGTGTGGCATCTCCATGCCTCTTGCTGTGGCATGTCAAATGTCATTTACAATTTTGTCAACAGCAGACGACTCTTGACTCTTGATTCTCGACTCTTGACAATTGACAATGCTTGCTCCTTCCTCTCTCTCTCTCTCTCTCTCTCTCCCCTCGTCACCTGTCGAATACCCGGAACGGGTGGGGGGGCAGGGCAATGCTATTGATTCACACATTCAGTCACCAGTTACGAGTGCCTCGTGGATGGATATTCCCATAGATACGAACACCAACTACAGGCACTTGAGAGCCAAACTCAAAAGGTTGGAATTTCCTCTGTTAACAAGAGAACTTTGTAGGTTTTTGATAAGAAGAAAAAAGGAAGAAAGATGGAATGGAAATGGAGGTGACATAAGTGGGAAGAAGGACTACAAAAACTTGGGAAAAAATATTTCGAAAAGTAGCTAAAACTCGACCTTTCGTTTGGGGATATTATCATTTTTTTTTAAGTATGCAAAATATATCTTTTATTTCATTTTTAAATATCCACAATATTTTATTTACCTTTCGCTTCTTCTAAATACTAAAATTTTAACAATTAAATTTTAAATAAACATTTAGTCAGGAAACGATTTTTATAAATAAGGAAAATATTCCTGCTTGTGGTGGAAAACCATCCAACAATTATATAGAGAATATATATTATGTATTATATTATATATATGTATTATATGTAAATATATATTATATTATATTACACAAATATTATGTACGATATTAGGCCTAGATAATGGCTCTTCCTATTTAATTAATATCCACTCACTTGTTTCTATTTTCTAATACACTTCCTGATCAGTTTATTTAGTGATTAAACATAACAAAATGCCCACAAATTATGTGGCATCTGCCCTCAGCCTCAGACATGAGCATTTGAGCATTCAGCATACAGCTGTCGCTGCATAAAAAACACATCATGCCATGCCATTCCATTTCATAAGGCACTTGTCAGAAATGGAGCTTTGCCCCATTGCCCGTCCACAACTCAACGCATTTCATTAAAAAGCGCTTATGGATGGACAAGAGACGGCGAGGGGTGGGGTAAAATGAAAAAGGAGGGCAGGGACTGTGGGAGTTTTCACATTTTCATTAGGCTGCGGTTCTTGCGTTTGATCTATGAAATTAATGCAATGCCATGGGCCATGGGCTATGGGCTATGGGCACAGAACGCAGACCGCTCGCTGCTGCTGCTGCTGATGATCCCTCTATAAATAGGAACAGCTGTCGCGGCTGTCATCGAAGCCGTGCTCTAGAGAGCGGCATAGAGAGAGAGGAAGAGAGTGGACCCCACTCTAGAAAGAACTACCTACTCCTACTCCTCCTTCTGACCCTTCCAGAGAAAGATTCTGACCCTGTGATGACTTTTGAGCCCTTGGTCACGTACTGCAAGTTGATGGAAAAAATGTTTTGTAATTGAATTTTAATGCACGCCGCAACCTGTCGCATTAGTGTCACCCCCAAGGGTCGTGACTCTCAGGGGCAGGGGCCAGCGGTAGCTAATCAGTTGCGGTGCAGACACCTGCAGGACATAATTTGTGAAGCCCAACAAGTGCAAAAAAAGGTATATGGGGCGTACCCCTCAGCAGGTCCAGGAAGCTCCTGGAGCTTATGACGCCTCGACATGTACGACCCGCCGCCGAAGGCAGTCGCCAGTTTGCAGTTGTCTAGCCATGAAAGTAAATCAAAATGCAGCAGCAGGATACTTGCACAAGTGGAAAGTACACCCAAAGGAAGCAGACAGACAGGCAGGCAGGCAGAACAGAACAGACTGCTGGGAGGTGCATGCCACACAGACACAGGATGTAGGGGGGAGGTGGGGCTCGTTGTGGACGGACTCCCGACTGGACGCACACATATGGCGGGCGGCTGGCTGCACGACTGCCTGACTGCCTTTCTTCCTGGCCACTCTGCTCTCCTGCATTTCCCCCCGTTTTTATTTAATAACGCATTTTTCAATTCATTTGATTTATGGCTGAGCGTGCGTTGCAGCCATTTTCCACACACAGTTTTCCACACACACACACACCCACTTAAATTCCCTTAGACCCGCTTAAAGGTGCCGCCTTCCCGCCACTCAATTCTCACTCTCTTTCGCGCACAAATACAAATTGTTTTTATTAATTCAATCCGATATTCAGTGAACCAATGGCCCGAAGCGAGCTCTAAAAATGTCCAGCCTTTCCTTTCCACCTGTTTTTCCCCCTCCCCACTCCACTCCCCCGATGACCCTCTGACCCTGGCCTGTTGTCCAGTCGAGTGTTCAACGGCAACCGGACGGCAGTGAAGGGACCTTGTCGCCTGCCTCAGTTCGATATGCCGCTCATTTTTATCATACTCATATTTTTTGGGGGCGCCAAGTGGAGTGCCTTTCTGGCGTTAAATGAACTGGAAATTTCGGGGTTTATTCAATTTGTTGGGCTCTCCTTTTCGTAATATGATGAAACATATTTTTTATTATTGAGATGGGGACGGGGCAGTACGGTTTCAATTTGGCAGTGTTTTTATTAAGTACATACCATTTTGGTTAGGGCTAAATGGGGGGGATTTCCTTTAGTCTGCATAGTTTTCGTGACCCTTGAAAGATTATTAAGATACTGAAGAGTATCCTCCTAAAGAGGATGCTTTCAAAAACTATCCCTAAATTAAATAATATTCGGTCCCGTAAGTCAAGTCGTTCTATCCAGGGTCCCTCGGTTCAAACGCTGGGCTGGATTACCTTTTTTTTCTAAATAAATTCTTTTTATTTGCGCCATTTTGGAATAAATGGGATACGTCGATCTATCGCCCGGCAAAATCAAGCAAGGACTTTCTTTTTTTTTTCTTAAACAAATCTTTTTTTCCAGTTTTACAGTAAAAATTACATTTTAAAATTGTTTTGATTTTTTTTTTAAATTTAGCTGGCATTAATTAAATATTTAACTAGTAAAAATTTAAGAAGAGTTTTAATTTTTGGTGTTTTTTTCCCTATTAAATGTTGAAAAAATACCATATGAAAATTACAAAAATTTTACTTGAAAAACAGAAAAAAAATAATGCAAAAAAAAACGTACACCATAAAAACAAAAAAAAAACGTTTGGCATTTTTTTTGGTTATTTTGGGTTAAAAACTTGGCTAATTTTCAAATTTTACATGTATCAAGAATGGACATTTAACATTAACATTACCATTACATTACCATTAACATTGCATTACCATTAACATTACTTTAACATTAGAAGTGACGACAGGATTTGTAGTTTGAGAAACTCCCGCTGACAATTTGGGGGGCGCCACTGCGCCATGTAGATGTCATGGCAGAGCTTATGAACTGTAGTGGCGCTAGTAGTTCAAGCTTGTTGGCAAGATTTTGCTTATCAACATTTTTGTGCTGCCAGACACATTTGTGGCCAGCCTTCAGGCGAAAACAGAACAAATATGAATATTAATGAATAATATGAATAAAATATGAATAAAATATGAATTTGCCCAATCCAAACGTGCCCATAAATTGAGGCTTATATACATGGATAGATAGATACATATATTATGTACAACAGCTTCTTTGAGGATTAACACATCAGAAACATGCCGTTGCAGTTTTCCGTATCAAATGCATCAAATCATCAAAAGAGATTATACTGCACTTTTCCCTACCTCCCCCTTGTGGTCTTTCTGTCACTATATTTCTATTTTTCCAATCAAATCCCCTCACAGCATTGCATTGGCCCGAGCTAAACCATTAAAAGCAACTCAAAGCGAAGCGTGTGGCAAAGCATTCGTAAGCCTTTAAGCCATAACTGACCTTTCCACATGCCACAAAAACAAAACAAAACAAAACAGACACACACACAGATACACGCATACAGATACAGATACTCGTATAGCTGAAAACAGATAGAAAGACATTCGTATATAGTGGGGGGGATTGAATATGCCCGAAAGCGTCTGTGGCTGGCTCTGCGTCTGTTGCTTGGATTCGTTTTCTTGGCTTAATCGTTTTCCAATAACTTTGGCATAGCTGCTGCTGCCACATTCTCGTACTTTTCGCAATAATTATTAACGTGT